TCCTGTTTTTTCTATTCTTTGATTATGTCTAAGATACGACTAACTACGTTCAGACTATTTATGAAAATGTTTCGTACGATTACTAATACATTAATTTCATAATACATAATATTCAAACGACAAAAAGAAGTCAATCAACCTTGTGTTTTACAACAGTTTTAGATCTATCATAAACGATTCATCATGGGAAAAGAAATGGAAAAAAGAGCGTCCCATCTATCAGACTATGATTTATGTTTCGTGATATATATTATATACATACTGGTAGTTAGCATTCCAATGGTTATTGTGCTTGCCTTATATATTAAACAGCAATGTAAGTGTAGATAAATGCAACCTCACCATTTTAGTCTTCCTAAATATACACATAACTATGTCTCATATGTTAAAAGTTTTCTATAATTGATATCCCACTACAAAAAAGAAAAGAATGGTCAATCACCGAAATATTTTGTTTTCTGAATGCAAATGAAACTCATATTTCATCGTGTTTATTCATCTATTTTAGCTTATGCCAGCGACTCAACAACGACAACAACGGGTGAGTATGTTTCTTTTCCATTAGATTGGAAGAGTATCATTCAAAAACGCAATTTTCATTACAAATATCTTTTCTCAGTGTTAGATTAATTTCAATTTTGACAGGTACGAAAAATCGTAAACGACGTTTGATCTTGTTCTTAAGTATTTTTTTAAAAAGAACACACAGAATTTTTTTGTCATCACATTCTGATGTTGTTATGAGAGGAGAAAAAAGAAAAACTACACACAATCTTTGTGACTAGTTATGGTGTTTTGATAAATAGACGAGACTAGATTTGCATTACAAAGCTATACATTCATGACTCTTGCCACTAAAAAAATTTCAGATAATTATTTTTTTATCATAATTTGTTTAATCTCAGATGAAACAAACATTTGCTATATTGTTCTCTTGAAGATAAACTTAAAAGAAACGAAAGAATTTACATTGTAGTTTTACTTATTGATCAGATATAACTCATCAATAACATGCTTCCTTATACTTCTTTAGCTCAGACGCAAGTGAATCTAATGAATACAACAATAGCAACTAAGCAAACATATTATTGTGCAGGAATCTCATCCTATACACACTGGCAACTATATTCTATCAATAGAATCACAATGAATATTGATACGACGAATTGTAGTTTTCCTTCAACTCCATACTATTTCACTAGTATGGCTGGTTCTAGCTCTCATTGGTCATTAGATAGTTATACTGCTATTTATTTTTCAACAAATATTTCATTTACAATTTATGCTTATCCAATGATTGCTTGGAGTAATACAGCCATGCATAATTATTCTCAAACATACAAATGGAGTGTAAATTGGTTTGGCATTTCTTCTTATTAAAAGTGATTGCGCATACTACTTTACTGTACCTAATAGAGTTTTGAAGTTTAATAAAATAGTATGAACAGCAAACTTTGGAAAGGGTTTTGTCGAAGAGAAGATCTAGATTTTACATACACACTCTTGATGAAATACTTTCAATTTTAAAACCAACTCGAAAAAATTTTGTTTTTTAATCCATGATACAAAAATATTTCTCAGATAAAAATCGATCCATGATTATAACTGAAACAATAAAAGTCATTTGTGTTTTCGTGTGATTAAAATGTACTGAAGAACTAAAACTAAAGCTAGGAGTTTTTTTTCGGAAAAAAAAACAAAGTTGGGTGTGGGTGTGGCTAGTTTTTGTATGTTCGAAACGACTATATTCTGATTTTCAGTATAGTGAAAAAGTGAACATAATTCATACTATGAGATATAATGAAATTAAGAATAATTTTTCTGACCTTCGTAAATGCACAAAACAATCGATCGATTCAAATTATTGAAACACTTTTATATTTCTTCACCCGATCCAGCATATTAGTTTTCCTAATTTTCTTCAAGTCTCGTATTGGAAAGAGAATTAAAATTTTTTCTGAAAATAAAAGTCCAATATCATAATCTCTCATTGAACATTTCAAAAATAAAATAATGTTCGAGACTCGTAAAATGTCTGTCCCGTAAGACTTTCATGATGATAACTTCAAAGCAGCTTGAATTACTTTTCTAGGCTGAATATTTCAATCAACTCTCTCTATTTACAGAGAGTATACATGGAAAAATCCTTGTTTCAGCATATTTCAACATGTTTATATAATGAAAATTAAGATTGAAATATCAAACAACAATTATTTATTATGAACATGAAACAACAATAGACAGGAAAAGTTTTTTCTTGAAAAAAAAAGGTATCAAGTAAATATTGAGAAGAAAATATGGAAATTATTAATTAACGTAAATTATCACCATCATCACCTAATTGTATTGATTTAATGTCATTGGTTGATGAAGTCGTAGGATTAGTTGTATGTTGTTGATTTACATTATTTGTTATAGGACGAATCCGTCGTTCAATTAAATGAACAAATTCAGGTTCGATTGCCATAAAACAAGATATCTATTTAAAAAAATAATAAAACGGTATAAATAAATAATTAATAAAAACTGAGTTACTTGACAACATTAAATAATTAAATCTTTATCATCTTGATCAAATGTATCAATTAATAATTTCATATTATACCGTTGTTTCCATTAATCAACTGATAGATAGTTTTGACAAGCTTCATCCAAAATGTTTCGACCAACAACACTATTTTCATTGAATAATTTGAGTAATAGTCGATAGGATGCAACTTGATTAATTCTATTATATCGTTTCATTTTTGTAAGAATATTTGTTATTGTTCCTAGTAATTCAGTTGTCTGTTGAAAGTTATTCATACGTGCTTTAAGATAGAAATCAATTGAAATTGAACGATCTAACTGTTGAAATTGAACGATCTAACTGTTGAAATTGTAGTACACAACGCTCACAAAGTATTGCATCCGAATTACGATAATCGTAAACAACAAAGCAATTTTACTGATCTTTATTTTTATTCAAAATAAAAAATTATTTCTAATATCCAAGGGGGAAACGGCGGACTTGAAGTAGAAAAGTACGTCAAAGTACGTCAAAGTAGACTACTTGAAGTAGCTCAAAGTACCACCCAGGTAGCCCAAAGTAGGAACAAGTAGCTTAAAGTAACTTCAAGTAACTTCAGGTAAATTTGAAGTTGAAAAATACTTCAAAGTAAGCTACTTCAAGTAGCTGAAAGTAACTTGAAGTAGCTTAAAGTAGCTCAAAGTAACTTCAAGTCCAAAAGTCCGCCGTTTCCCCCTTGCTAATATCCTTTCGCATATAATTGTTCTGCTCGATCGGAATATTTAGCTGCTACTGTTAAATCTTGTAATTTTTAGTGTCTGATGAAATTATTAGAGTACAAGAAATGTAGATGTGGATGTAAATCTCCTACTTCCTCACACCTATACTCACACCCACCGACACCACACCCGCATTCCACCCCACTTCTACATCCCACACCCACACTCTTACCCACATCTACACCTTCTAGTGTAGGATGAGTGGATTGTGTTTTCGCAAGAAAGGTATCATTTCAAACTTCTTTCCTTGTTTATAGT